GTAATTAAGGGGCTAAATTAACAGGGTTACAAACACAAACACCTATCTCATATTTAACTTTTGGGGAAAATATTTTGTGGCCTGGTATGTCCTCTTATATATGGGGTAAGATTAACAGAACAGAACATCATACCAGATGGCAGTCAGAAGTCTGGGGATGCTTTTTTGCCTTAGGCCTTAAGTGATTCACTAAAAATGGTACATAAATGTTTCCATTCTCAAGAAAATCCCAGAGGAGAATACCTGACCATCAGTTTGTGACCTTATGTGACCTTATATTAAAAACAGCAGAATGATGAGTGAAAGCATACCATCCATTCAGTATCTGAAGAGAGAGCATCAGAGAGAGCATAACGAGAGAGATTAAACTAACAGATTCTGCAGAGTGGGAGAATAGAGAATAGAATAAAGCAGAATGGTGAAATGGGAGTCCCTATGTCCTCCAGAAGTCCATGCCTATATCAGCATAACTATAGTGATAGCTCAGTACAAATCAGTACTTTAAACAGGAACAATAAATCTCCCTCAAGGGACAGCTCCAGATGGCTGGGAGGATTAAAATTGGTCTGCAGGGAGGCTATTAGGTGAAAAGAGCTTTTCAGTATTCCATGTAGCAAAATCTTATTCAGTTTGTGCTCTGCTGTAACAAGAAAAATATTGAACTAAAAGTCTACAGTAAATACCTTGACCCTGTTTGGGGTAATTTGCAATTTTATCAAAGACCTGTCCACTATTCAAACAAAGATAAGTTTTAAGGTCAATTTGAACTTTCCTGCAGATTTCTAAATAAAATCTAAGCAATGGTTTCTGTGATCAAGCTTTTATAAGTACAGTGTAAAAAAAAAAAATCCTGTTCCAAGGGGTAAGGAAAATCTGAAATGACATCTCCAAAATGTTTCATGTACTTCTTAACAACCCTGAGATATGTGTGACACCAAAGTGATAAAAGGTTTATTTCTCCTATTTCTGTTTTTTTCTCTGGAGCAATAAGATGTACTAAATTTCAATTTAGTCTCCTCCCAAGTTTCTGAAAAGATTCCAACAAGCTCTAATATAATTCTTAGAGTTTAAAAAAATAGAAAATGAAAATAATAATTTTGTGCCTACTATGAAACAAGGAGTCATAACAAAAATGGGAAAAGACACATTGATAATGATAAACGCCAATAACTAGACTTAAATGTCTCCAAATGTGAGTAAATATCAACACACATTTATCAATAAAGCCACTTATATGGGATTCCAGTGAAAAAAAGAAATAAAATATTTAAGCTTGACCTTGAAAAAGGATTATAAGACAAAACAAGATCTGAATACTTTGGCTGTCATAAAGAAGAGTGAATGCATTCTTACTTGCTGGCTTCAAATAGATACTTAGAGACTTAGACAACTTACAATTAGTTTTTTGTTTTGTTCTTTTACAGCTTTCAGAAAGAAAATAAACATTTCCATTCGATAAAGTGCAGCAGTGGTCAAATGTAAACAGTGTGGGACAAAAAACATGGTGCAAATATCGTTATTTGAGTTCAGAGCTTGATGACAAATGACAAATTTATATAGTGCATATTTTCACTATTTGGGTTTGGTGTTATCAGTGTGTTGCAGAGTCTGTGAATGGATTTAGCGTTTATTTTTCAATGTTTCAGCAATCTTATGGCAGTGGGGAAAAAGCCTTTGCAAAATCTGCTGGACCTGTATCGGATGCTTCGGAGCCTCTTCCCAGAGGGCTGCAGGGAGAACAGTCCATGTTGGGGTTGTGATGGGTGATTTATCATGTTACGGGCTCTGGGACAATGTCTTTTATGAGGGAAGAGGAGCCCCGATGATCCCCTCTGCTGTTCTCACCACTATTCTCACACTCTTCCTGTCTAAGGTGCTGCAACCTCCAAAGTCATACAGCTGGTCAGAACTTTCTCTATGGTGCTTCTGTAAAAGGTTGTGAGGATGGATAGGGGCAGGTGGGCTCTCCTCATCCTCCGCAGAAGGGGCATGCACTTCTGTGCCCCTTTGACCAGTGAGGAGGTGATAACATTCCAGGTGAGGGTGTCTGTGATGTGCACCCCCATGAATTTGGTGCTGCTGACCACCTCTACAGCTGAGTTGTTGATGACCAGTGGAGCATGGTTAGGCCGGTTCTTCCTGAAGTCCAAGATGATCTCCTTCGTCTTTTCCACGTTCAGGATCATGCTGTTATCTTTGCACCAGTCCACCAGCTGCTCCACCTCTTCTCTGTAGTCCAGGTCGTTGTCGTCTCTGATGAGGCCCACCATCGTGGTGTCGTCTGCAAACTTCACGATGTGATTGGTGGTGAACCTGGGGAAACAGTCGTGTGTCATAGGGTGAACAGCAGGGGGCTAAAGACGCAGCACTGAGGGGAGGCTCTGCTTAGACTGATGACATCAGAGGTGTTCTGTCCAACCTGGACTGACTGAGATCTGTTGGTGAAGAATTCTAGCAGCCAATTGCGAAGGGGTGTATTGAAGCCCAGCTGTTCAAGTTTGCCCATCAGATGCTATGGGATGAGGGTGTTGAAAGCTGAACTGAAGTCCAGGAACAGCATCCGCACATAGGTGTTCTTCTCCTCCAGGTGGCTCAGGTGGAGAGAAGCAGAGATGGCGTCCTCAGTGGAGCGGTTGAGTCGGTAGGCAAACTGGAACGGGTCAAATGTTGGCGGCAGACTGGAGACAATGTATTGTTTAACCAGCCTTTCGAAGGACTTCATCATGGTTGGAGTCCGTGCGACAGGAAGGTAATCAGTGAGTGTGTTAAACTGAGGCTTCTTTGGGACTGGAATGATGGTGGCAGACTTGAAGCATGCTGGCACTATGGATTGGTCCAGCGAGGCTATGTTATCAGGCCCTGGGGCCTTCCTTGGATTGACTCTCCTCAGAGTTTTGAACACATCAGCTGTGTCAAGGTAGAGTGCCTCCTCTCCCTGATGTGGAACAGCTTTCACTGCTGGAGTGCTGTTTAGTGCCTCAAACCTTCCAAAGAAATTCTTCAGCTCATTTAGGGAGTCAGCATCAGTTTTACCCACTGGAGGAGAGGGTGTGTTGTCTGGGATTGCCTGTATGCCTTGCTACATACTCCTGGTGTTGCAGGCATCGTGAAGGAGATCCCGGATCTTCCGGCTGTGGTTCTGCTTCGCTGATCTGCACAGTTCAAGTTGGCACTCACTGTCCTCAGTGCCTCTCTATCACAAGACTTGAAAGTTTTGTGCTTTTAGCGATTCCTGAAGCTTCCCATTCCTCCAGGGCCGTTGGTTGGCCTGGTTGTGGATGTTCTTTGTGGTGCTGATGTCCTCAATGCAATTGTTCATGTAGGCTGACACAGTCATGGCTTACTCATCCATATTTATTTTTTTTGTCATAGTTGTGTTCTTGCAGCTTTGAACATGTTCAAGTCAGAGCATTCAAAACAGTCCTGGAGTTACTTCATGGCCCCCTCAGTCCACACTGACCTCCTTCACTGTTGGTTTTGCGCTGATTAGCTGGGGGCTGTTTGCAGGAATTAGCATGACAGATAGGTGGTCTGATGACTAGAGGTGGGGGTGGGGAGCTGCTCTGAATGTATCTTTAATGTTAGAGCACAGTCTTCAAGTTAGCCTAGTTAAAATCCCCAGCAATGATAAAAACACCCTGTGTGTGCGCAGATTGAAGCTCATAGATAGCCTGGTAGAGAGTCTTCATGGCCTCTTTTGTATTAGTGCTGGGAGTGGCATAAACTGTATTGATGGTAACCATGTTAAACTCTCTGGGCAGATAGAATGGTCTACATGTAACAGTCAGAAACTTGATATCTGGAGAGTAGAAGCTGGCGGCCGATCTACCATTTTTACACTCATTTTAGTTTATGTACACACAGAGCCCCCCTCCTCTAGTCTTAACACTGAGTTTGCTGTTTCCATCGGCCCGGTATAATGTTAGCCCATCCAGGCTCAAAGCATTGTCTGGTATGGATTAATGAAGCCATTACTCAGTTAGAATGATGGCGCAGCAGTTACTGATCTACTTTTTTGAAGAGAGTTCGAGTTGGAGGTTATCCATTTTGTTATCCAGTGAGCTGATGGTGGATTGCTGGATTGATTGAATCCATGGTCTGTGGGGATTCCTCCTTTGCAATACTGTTAGCCCACCTCTGCAGCCCCTCTTTCGTGGTCTTGCACGTTGTTTCCTCTGGCTCCCCTCCTGGCACAGCCTGATCCTTTTTCGCGCTGCTTTGTTTAAATATGTCTGAAGCACTCCACAGCTTTTTTAACAGTCAATAGTAGCTTTATTTAAGAGTCCAGAAAAGTAATTTTGTGACCGAAGCTCTTGCAGGCGCTGATGGTCTTAGATGCAGGATCGATGCCTAATTTGTAGTGTTTTGGCATATTTTGTGGAATTTTCTAGAGCTGTATGAAGCTGCTGCCTACAGGCGCAGCCATGTTGGATCCAAAACGAGATCTCCAAATGGCCCAGTTTTGCACCAGTGATTTCAGATGCAGGAGTTTGCCCTGCTACCGGAGGTTTGTTTGTCTTTCTTTAGATGTATTGATGATTTTATTTTTTACATTGCAGATGCTTATTTTTCACAAGAGAATGATCCTTTCACTTCTTTTGCTCATAAGTGACCTAAATCCTTACTATATAGTTTATTCTCTTCTAAATAAAGAAAAAAAAAAAAAAAACAAAGGTTTGGTTCCAAGGGCCGGTGGGGTGGAAGTTTAACAAAGTGCCTAAACAAAAAAAGCCACAACCAAAAAAATAACCAAACTTAACCCAACCCCAACCGCAAGCAAAAAAAACCGGAATCAACCTGGTTGGAAAAACCCAAACACCAATTTTTTCAGCTATACTATAAAAGAGGAGTTGTCATCCCAGGTAAAATGATGTGCTTGAAATGTTGTAGAAACATCTGCACAGAGTGAAGTAAGTACATTTAATATAGAAAAGCCCAAGAAAAACCATACATATAGTGTAATTTGAACTTTGTGATTTTTGTTTTAGGCCTTTGCAAAAATGAAGCTGCTTTTAGCAGGAATTGTTCTCACTTTCCTCACTATATGTGACGCTCAGTGGTACAAGTTTCCTATTGAAGCTGCTCAAGGTAAAACGTATGACCGACTATATAAGCAGAACCTTTTTAAGTACATTCATGGTTGTCACTGAAAGGGTCATTATATAATATGAACATTCTTTGTTTTTTTTCTAATCAGGAGCTCGTGATATGGCCAGAGCCTACAGCGACATGAGAGAGGCCAACTTCGAAGGTTCTGACAAATACTTTCATGCCAGAGGAACCTATGATGCTGCACAGAGAGGAGCAGGAGGGAGGTGGGCTGCTGAGGTTATCAGGTAATAAATGCAGTATAATCTTAAAATGATTGGAAATAAGTTTTTCAAGGTCAAACACTGACAAGAAGATAGATCTTTTGTGTAGGTCATAAGGGTTTGTACTGTTTTGTAAAAATGTACTTTCTTCTGGATATGTGACGCATTAATGTAGAGACATAGTTAAGTGTATGCAAATTCACTGATATTTATTGGGCTGGTAAGATTTCTAAATAAAGGAATTCACATTCTTTACGGCAAAGCAAAATTTATAAATTGATTGCACAAGTAAACTGTTTTTAAGATTTTAAAATAATTGCAACATTTCACCTTTTGGCAAAAGCAAGACTTAAAGTATTTTAGGGTGTTTAATGAAGGACCCTAGAACTTTTGAAGAATATGACAAAAAAAAGATGGTGTGAAAATGCCTTTTGTTGCCACAGGAATTAGGATTTCCCAAGTTAAATAGAGCAAATTCTAAATAGATTTTTTTAATGTGTATTTCTCTCTTTTCAGCAATGCCAGAGAGTGGATAAAGGAAAGTTTTGGTACCGGTACAAAAAAAACGGATATAGGAGATCTTCATGCATAAAACTGAGGAGATCCCAACCATTACAGACCTGCAGGCCTTCCTGATAAATACTGAGAATATAACACGCAGTCTAATAAAACTCATGATAAAACTGTATTTCTGCACTCATTTGTGATGCATGATTAAGAATAAAAGTTATTTCCTTTGTTATTTCAGTTAAATCAAAACCCCATATGGGGACTTGCATACATTAAAATGAGTTTTATTATCTTGAATATAGATGTATATAAGTTTATGTATATAACTTAAGGCCTATTTAACAAAACTTGAATTTAGAAATCCTGGGCAAGAGATAGAGCCTGTCTTGACTTAATGTGATCAGTGCATCCTTGCAATGATATCAGAAGTCTAAGATACACATTTTCTAACCCCTTCAAAAACATCATAATTGAATGATCAACTTTCAACTTAAAAACTAACAGTGGAAGGTATTGTAAGATTCATGGATCATACATTTTTTTACAATTGTTTATTCCTTTGCCACATGCATGCTGTCCCTCTGAGGTGTAGTTGTTGAAGACTGGCAGGAGAACAGGAGACTGAGAAATGAATCGTGAGTCACTGTCATCTAGGTAATTGTGGGGAAAGCTTCAAGTATTGGCTCGTAATTGCAAGGGAAGATAGATGTTTGGAGCTTCTTTTATGGCCTGACATTATAGACAACACCAGTAGTCTACTAAAGGTCTTTCTGTCAACATTATAACAAAAAAACATCTTAAAAAACACTATCAAATTAACAATGTCCGAATAAAAGACTATAAGGTTCATTATTATATAGGCTACCATAACGCTGATAAAATAATAAAAATAATTGGCTATATATGAATATGTATTAAAGGTTTTTAACGTAACCTAAAAAAATAATCCAAGAAAAGGATAAGAAAAAATAATTAGTAGAATAACTGATTGGTTGATGTTCAGAAAATTCCGGCTTACACCCTTATCCAGGATTTGTGAAACAGACCTGTGGGCTCAAATTGAGACCTGTCAACTCAAGCTTTGTTGAATTTGTGACTAAGTTGCTTTTTGCAGGGCATTGAATAATCCTTTCTTTTCAGGTACATTTCTTTTAGATTTTTTTTTATTGATTTAAAATCTAAACACCAAACATTCTTTCTTAACTGATTTCATCACAGGAGAGCACAGTTTTTACACTGGTATAGAACAAATATTTTCCTAATTTCCTAATTTGAAACTCTTGCCACAGGATATATACTGAGCAGAAATAACTAATTCAATCAACCCATATTTAAAGATCATATTTAGGTGAATTTTAGACATGGCAAAAAGCATCAGATTTTTAACTTGGTTTGTAAATATATTCTGGTATCTCATCTGCCACCTCTGTGATAACCCTTAATCTAATAAGTTTGTGAAATTAGTTAACACTGTAACCAACAGTAACAACAACCAAACAGATCTGCTGTAATTGTCATATTAATTATTTTCTTTATAAACAGCTTACCAAGAGATCCAATTCTCATGTGTTTCATTTATAAACAGTTTGCTATGTAAATGAACACCGTTGTTCAAGATAAATAAAACAAAAGATTTCAGATATGGATCTATTTCAAGAGCACGGCATTAGCGAATACTATATAATTTAACTAATATGAATATGTTTTTGTCCAAATCTTTTTTTTTTTTTTTTAAATCAGTTATATTGTATATTTCTATATTTAAATACATGTATTTTCATAAATGAAGCAGAATTTGGTGTTCTGACAAGGTAATGAACTGAAACCTATTTAGAAAAATCAGAATTATTTATGGATAACGCTTTTAGAAACAAAGCTATGAACCTTTTTATGTTTCAAACAATATAACACAGCTCTAAGTACAAACAGTAATAGGGGGTTAATAACAAAAGTGAAACTAGACAACTATTGTAACAGAATATAAAGAATACGACTAGTGATCTCTTGCATAAAACTCTGAGGATGACGACTTTCTGTAGTCTGAACAGTCTGCAAAAAACTAAGAATTCAGGTTTTTATTTGTATATTCATAAGCTTTTGCTTTTTATTTAGTCCATCATTAACCTCAGAGTTCTTTGAGGCAGGGTTATTTTCGTTTTATTAAAATTGATTAAGCTAAAGCTTAGATTAAGCAAAAGTGCTGCTCAAGGTCAACACTTTTGTTAAAAGAAATAAGTGTACTGAATGCCTCCATACTATACTTTCCATAGGTTTCCAGTGAATAACACATGGTGCTGTCTCACATCAAGGATCTTCTGATATGGCAAAGGCAATGTGGCAAAAAAGGGGAAACACTTTATGCCATCAGCTGGAAAAAACCTTTTTGTCATCAAAAAATATGTTGCTGTGCTAAGAGAAGCATGAAGTAAATTGAGTGCAGAGAAAATCAGCTAATACTGCTGGAATTGTGGAAATTTCTGTATGCAGAAATTAAACAACAAAGGCTCTGGATGAAGGTTACCATTTGTTTTGCTGACGTTATTTAGATTAATCTAATAACTTTGTAAAGTGTAATCTTTTCTGTGTAATAAAAATATCAGGTTGTTATACCATTCTCAATATCTAACAGAATTCAATCTAAATAACCTGAGCCAACGGTTTAGAGAAACAATATTTCCCCTTAACTGTTGGGGAAAAAAATACAAAGGTGGAAAAGTGATTTTTTTATGTTTAGATCTTCTAAAACGTTAAGAAATGATAAATCATTGGTAGATCATTGGTAAATAGCTCTCACTTACTCCCTCCTTCTGCCTTTTTAATCATGCTTCAGACACTCTACTTAATGCAGATACTAAACGTTTGTTTTAATTCTCTTATTTCTGGCCAAGAAATGTATATTACTGAGATGGTCAGCACCTCAGGCCCCCACAGTTGATATTTGGATATCACAGATTTCAGCTATTATCACAGTTGAAAAACTGACCCATGACCTTCATCAAAAGTCTGAGAAATTCCGGAGGATTTGGAACCCACTGCAATCTTTCTTACAGAGAATGTCATTTTTTTGTTGTTGTTGTTATTTTTTTTTTGTTTTTCTTATTTTTTTTTAAAATCATTTTCCCTTCTCTCTTTTACATTCAGTATATTATTCATGTGGCTGTCCAACAACTTTAACTATAGTGAACCATGACTGGGAATGTTTGTTTGTATTTTGTGTGTGTAGGCACTATGTGTTATATATATATATGTAGACACTGCAATGCTCCTTGTTGTTTTGGAGTGGGTTGTTTTTTAATTTTTGTTTATGTTTACATAAAGTTGTGAAAATCAATTAAAAAAAAGAAAAAAAATAGAAATGATAAATAAACAGTTGGCTGTGTTGGCTGTGTGAAAAGCAACCCCCCTCAATCACAGTGAGGGTATATAGCACTACACTGCATTTTGTATCTGCTCATGCA